TCCACTTCCTAACCCCCTCGGGGACCCAAAAAAAAACTCCCTAACAACCCTGTTTACTCATCTGAGTCTTCAACTCAAGGGTTAGTTTACAATTGTCCCATCTCTGGAAAATCTGTCTCTGTCTCCTTGTCGATTCCTCTCAGTATTTTATTGCCGTTATCAATCCCCCTTGTCCCCCCTGTCCTCCAATTTGTCCAAAGGGCGAATTTTCCTTTTTTTTTCTTCTCCAAAGGGCAGCCCCTTAGCTCCGGGCAGTCTTGTTTTCAAAAACCCTTTCACTTTTTTCTGATTTTTTTGACGTTAAATGAAACCCGGTTTTTGGTTCCAAACTGGTGCTTCATACTCCAAATGGGGCTGACATACAAAGGTGTTTCAGAGTCCCTTTTTCGATTCTTGACTGAATGTCGGGAAACCAAACTTTGGTTTACCCCCGGGGCCCATATGCCCGCAGCAGTTATTTGCTCGATGTGCGTCCAGGGGATGTTTTTTGGTATTAAACTCAAAACCCCCAAAATCCTTTTTCCCTTTTAAATGAGATTCGCATCTTTTTTGGGCCCCCCCCAGACTGTACCTGTGTGTTTGGGCTTTTTTTGGGCCCCTTTCCCCAAACTTCATGTGCACTTGGGGGGGTTAAAAACCCATGAGCCATTGCTGGACCAGGCTTGCAGCCTGGTGGGGGGTTTTAAAGTTCCCTGTGTTTTAAAAATTTGGGGTGTTTTATGTTCTGGTGGTTTTTAAGTTCGTGGTTTTAGTGTGTAAATCCTCCTCCTTTCCCCCCCCTTCTCCCCCCATCACAACATCAAACCTCCCCCCCTCCTACATCTCCAGCACTTTAAATAGAGGGCAAACGAACCCCTTTTACAAAAGTTTTAAAAACCAAATCTCCCCACTGTTTTTCTCTCTCTCTCCCCCCGTCTTCCCCTCTCTCTTCTCCTCCCTCCCCTCCTCTTTTTCTCCCCTCCCCTCTCTCCTCCCCCCTCTCCTTTCCCCTCCCCTCTCCTCTCTCCTCTCTTTTCTCTCTCTCCCCTCTTTCCTTCCCGGTATTAAATAAAGGGGAAAAATATTTTCACATTTTTTTGGGAAGTTTAGGTTAAATTTACACTTTTTTTTGACAAGAAAATGAAAAACACCCCGTTGTAAGTAATTTATGAATAAAAAACACATTTACAACAAATTATTTCTTTAATTTATGAATAAGACACCCTGAACCCAAAACCCGGTTTTTGATGACTGAGGGGAAGTCAGGGTTCCCCCAGAGGGTAGAGAAAATTCTCCCGAGCAGTGAAGGGAACGACCTTGTTCTTGGTAGGGAGGGAGGGGATGTTTTTTAAAAGGGGAAAAGGGGCCACAGAGGGGAGGGGAATTTCTCAACGGAGGGGGGGGTTTTCATAGAAGTTAGGGGAATTGTCCCCGTCTCACCTGCTTTGTTTTTCTTGATGGGGTAATTTTGGGGCGGGACATTTTTAAACTGAACGATGTTTTTGTGTCCACTTTCCCACGGGTTTTCCGTTTGCTGGGGTTGGGGAGGGGCACTTAAACTCACACCCCTGAGGTCCGGGGAATAATCCCCCGGGACGGCTGGAAACATTACATAAGAACTTAAGAAAGAAGGAACACTGCAGCAGGCCTATTGGCCCATGCGAGGCAGGTCCAAGTCTCCTCCCGGCTTAAACCAATGACCCACCTAGTCAGGCCAGGTCAGGCTACATCCACTTAAGGAAGGAGCACGGCATCAGAACTATCAGCACAAGTTAGTCAGGTCCAACTCAGACCCACCCACACACACTCATGTATTTATCCAACCTATTTTTAAAACTACACAACGTCTTAGCTTCTACGACGGTACTCGGGAGTTTGTTCCACTCATCCACAACTCTATTACCAAACCAGAGCTTTCCTATATCCTTCCTGAATCTGAACTTTTCCACCTTGAAACCATTGCTGCGAGTCCTGTCTTGGCTAGATAGTTTTAGTACGCTATTTACATCCCCTTCATTTATTCCTGTTTTCCATTTATTCACCTCAATCATATCCCCCCTAATTCTACACCTTTCTAGAGAGTGCAGATTCAGGGCCTCAGTCTATCCTCATAGGGAAGATTTCTGATACATTTGATCATCTTTGTCATCCTCCTCTGTACGTTTTCCAGAGCATTTATATCAATTATGTAATACAGTGACCAGAACTGAGCAGCATAGTCTAAATGAGGCCTAACCAAGGATATATAGAGTTGAAGAACAACCTGAAGACTCCTATTATTTATACTTCTTGATATGAAGCCAAGGATTCTGTTAGCTTTATTGCGAACACTAATGCACTGTTGTCTTGGTTTTAGATTACTGCTAACCAGAACTCCTAAACCCTTATTGCGATCAGTAATATTAAGATCCACATTATTTAGTTTATATGTGGCATGGTTATTTTCTTGTCCAACATTTAGAACTTTGCATTTGTCTATATTAAACTGCATCTGCCACTTCTCCGACCATTGCATCAGTCTATTCAAATCTTCTTAGAATTAATTAGGTGTATTTTGGTGTCATCAGCAAACTGCTTATGCCGCTATTTACTCCCTCGTCATTGTCGTTTATATAAATTGTGAACAACAAGGGGCCCAACACTGACCCCTGAGGAACACCGCTCATGACGTGCCCCCATTGAGCTAGAGTTCGTCACGGCCACACTAGCTGGAGATTCGTCTGTAAAAACTTGCATTTGTGGTCACAGTGGTGCCTGTGCTAACCTTCCTATGGTGTAGAAATATACCTAGTTGGATGAATCTTATTGTGGATAGCTGGTCTAGTGGCTAACGCGACGGGCTGGAGTTTTGAGACTCTATGACCGCGGGTTCAATCCCGGCCGGGGGTATGGTTTGATTTCTCCCCATTGATGCAAACTCTCTGCTGCCTATCTGTCAACGACGCCTCTACCCAGGAAAAAAATTCTCCTCCTATTCCATGTGCCTTAATTTTCCTCAATAACCTCTGATGCAGAACTAGCAAAACCCTTACTAAAGTCCATATACACTATCATATTCATTACCATGATCTACCTCCTCAAATACCTTAGTGAAAATAGTAAATTTGTGAGACAGGAACGCCCCTTTGTAAAACCGTGTAAAGAGTCATTAATCAATTTATGCCTGTCAAGATGGGTACGAACTGCCTCGGCAATTATTAATTCCATAAATTTTCCCACTATGGAGGTAAGGTTATTGGTCTATAGTTCGAAGCTAAGGACCTGTCACCTGCCTTGTAAATAGGTATTACATTTGCCATTTTCCATTTACCAGGCACTGTGCCAGTTTGTAGTGATATGTTGAAAAGATTAGCCAAAGAATTTGTTCGGTTTAAATTTCTCTATTTGTTTTCTGAGGACCATGTCACTAGTTACTCTAATTGTGTAGATAAATGGTCTAGAGAACCGACAAGTTGATAAATTAGAAACATGTGCAACACTTGGGTATCTTTAATGAGGAAACGTTTCGCCACACAGTGACTTCATCAGTCCATACAAAGGAGAATGGTGAAGAACAGGAGGAGTTTGAGGTAATCAGTCCCTCAGCCTTGAGTCGATGTAATCAATCCATCAATCTTGAAAAGAATGATGTTTATCTAGCAGTAAAATAGGTACCTGGGTGTTAGTGGACTGGTGTGGGTCGCATCCTGGGTGTTAGTGGACTGGTGTGGGTCACATCCTGGGTGTTAGTGGACTGGTGTGGGTCACATCCTGGGTGTTAGTGGACTGGTGTGGGTCACATCCTGGGTGTTAGTGGACTGGTGTGGGTCACATCCTGGGACAAAACTGACCTAATTTGCGGGAAATGCTCAGCATAACAAGCAACTTTTTATATAGTAGTATGTCACTGATGTCAGCTATGATCTGTATACCTTGTACATGTACTGGTAGTAAATATATTATTATTATTATTATTATTATTATTATTATTATAACATCATTATTATTACTATTAGTATTGGAGGTGCCCGTAATTAATGATAGGCTTAGGGTGAACGCATACATAGATCTAGGTTGGTCCTACATAGACCTAGGTGTGAAAGACGAGGCTTAAGTTATTCAGTTTTATGACTTATTGTATACTAACATTACCAGTATTCTGACACTGCCAGTGTACCGACACTGTCAGTATAATGGCACTACGTACCAGTATACTGACACTGTCAGTGTACTGACACTGTCCGTGTCAGTATACTTACTCTACCAGTACTGTGGGTACACATGGTCAGATATACATAGGTAGGGGATATAGAGATGGGAGAGGACCATGTATGCTAGGCTATAATCACTCAGCCTCAGGAATAATTTGGGTATGTTGGAGTGTTGGGGTGTTAGGAGGGTATGGTGGTGTGTGTGTGTTCTTACCTATTTGTGGTTGCAGAAGTCGAGTCATAACTCCTGGCTCTACATCTTCACTGGTAGCTACAAGGTCTACTCTCTCCCTGCTCCATGAACTTTATCATACCTCTTCTTAAAGTTATGCATGGATCCTGCCTCCACTACATGTGTTAGACGCGTGTAGGCTCTTACTGTTATACCACACAGTGTTTGAGAGCCATGTAGATTCTTACTGTTATACCACACAGTGTTTGAGAGTCTCATTGTTGTGATTGTCTCCAGATTGTTCCACTCCCTAACAACTCTATGACTGAAGAAATACTTCCTAAAATCCCTTTGACTCATCTGAGTTTTCAGCTTCCAGTTGTGACCCTTTTACGTGTCTCCCATCCTAAAACTTTCTGTCCCGTTAATTTTTCCCAATTTTTTGTCAGTATTTTTAAATAAATCAGTCCCCCCTATACCCCTTTTCTCCAGTTGTTAGTTGATTTCCCCTTAACCTCTCCTCTAGGGCATACCTCTTAGCTCGAGACAGCTTGAGCAAACCTTTGCCTTTCCTAATTTCTTACGTCTTGACTAGGGTGGGTTTCCATACTGGTGCTGCATACTCCAGTATGGGCCTGACGTCACGAATATATGTCAAAATGAATCCTTACATGAATCAAAACGCTATTCTAGGTGTGCCCAAGCACCCAATCTCAGCAGTTATTGGTTTGATGTGCCCTCGGGAGAGGGCTCGGTGTTATACTCACTCCCAAACCCTTTTTCCCCTTGGTGAGGTTTGCACCCTTGAAACCCCTGCATGTCTCGTCCTGATTTTTTTTTTTTTTTTTGCCCTTCCCCAATTTTCATGACTTTGCACGGGGGATTTTTAAAACTTCAGAACCAGTTTTTTGGACCAGGTCGCACCCTGTCCAATCCCTTGTTCCTACTTGATCCTCGCCCTTGGTTTTTTACTCATTAGTTTCACACCATCTGAAAACGGGGGACACCCCTAAACTATCCCTTTCCCCGCCATGCCATTCCGTGCTAAAATAGAAACCCGACTAGGACTGGCCCTTGCGGATCCCGCTCCGCCCTTCTGCACCTCGTAACAACCATGACTCGTTGTTTCCTTCCTGCAGGTATTCACTACCATTGCAGTGTCTTTCCGTTATTCCTCCCTGCTAAAATCAGTTTTTTCCTACCCTTTTTTCTTCCCTCTCCTTTTACTTTTCTTACTTTCCAAAAATTTTCCAGTAAGTTTGTGTCAAAATTCCAGTAAGTTTGTGTCAAAATTCCAGTAAGTTTGTGTCAAAATTCCAGTAAGTTTGTGTCAAAATTCCAGTAAGTTTGTGTCAAAATTCCAGTAAGTTTGTGTCAAAATTCAAAATTTGGCAAAATTCCAGTAAGTTTGGTCAAAATTCCGAAAGTTTGTGTCAAAATCCAGAAATTTTGTGTCAAATTCCAGTAAGTTTGTGACACAGGATTTCCCATGAAACTGCGCTGGTTATCGGATAAGCTTATTTCTTTCAGCCTTAAACATTTTTCTCCTGAAACTTCTCCGAAATTTTACTACTGAACAAGTACTGTACAGGGGACCCCCGGTTAACGATATTTTTTTTTCACTCCAAAAGTAGTTCGGTTCCAGTAGACCGAATTTGTTCCCAAAAGAAATATTGTGGAAGTAGATTATCCATTTCAGACCCCCAAAACATACACGAAAACAAACCAAAAAATACACTTAAAAAATTTGGGGGTCGCTTTCGAGGTAACGTTATGCGGGGGTCCATGTACTCTTCCCACACTCGGGTTGTTGCCCTGTTACGATGGAGGGGTTTTAATATTGTTAGGCTACGGTGAAAAGCTATGTTCCACAAGGCACAGTACCGCCCCATTTTATTCCTCATCCTCATTTCAAATAGAGATTTAAGCCATAGTTTTCGTTCTTTTTTTTTGGGGATGCACCGGGATCACCAGGCAGTGACCTCCATCAAAGAACTGCGAACCCCAAAGCGGGACATAAACCAAACTTGGAATGGGTCACTCAAAACAATATGAAGTTCAACGAGGAAAAATTTCAACTACCAGATATGGGAAACTTGGGGAAAAAAAAATTTATCAGATATAACAAATTCTAACCATACAATAACGAAAAAGAAATGTGAAAGCCCGGATGATAATGTAAAGGGATCCGCTGCAAAGACCACAACAATGTATCCCCATCTGCAGAAAAAAAGGATAAATAAAAGAACCTTTTAAAATTTAGGGAGCCGCCCATAGAGCCTTTTCAAATTGTTGTTCTCCGGGTTTGGAATACTGCGTACACTAACGGTCCCCTTCAAGGCGGAGACATTTTCGACCGGAGAACAAGCAAAGAAAATTTTTCCCGGGACACATAAATGATAAGGCACCTTAATTCGGACTGGTTCAGGCCTTGATCTGTATTCCCCCGGGAAAGCAGGCGGAGAGATACATGATAATATACACTTGGAAGGTCCGGAGGGATTGTACCAAACCGCACACGAAAATCACGTCCTATGAAAGGAAAAAAATCGGGAGGTGAACATTCCCTCGTGAAAAGCAGGGGGGCCCCCGAGCACTGAAGACAACACAGAAGGTTACAGGGCCCAACGCAACTGTCCCCCAGTATACATAAGGGGGATTTTCCAAAGACCCCTACGTCTTCAAGAAAACCTGGACAGAAATTTAAAAACAGTACCTGACCAACCGGGGTGGGTTTTTCACGTCAGCTGCGTGCGGCCAGCAAACGCCTGGTTGACTAAACCCGATCCACCAAGGCCTTTGTTTCAGACCGTTTCCCCGCGGGGGGTTGACCCCCAAACCCTCTCCAGATAAACTCCAGGTAATGTACACAAAATGCTTTTTGCTCCCCTCTCAGACCCATGGGAGATGTCGGGTCCCCCTCCTTTTAGGATCTAGTTCACTTACAGTCTCATCCCCTCCTCAGTTGGGGGTACAGTGGTCCAGCACTTGTTGGTTTTACCCCCGCCATCCCAGTTTTGGGGGAAGCCCGTGCCACTGAAAATGCCTCCCAAATCTTGTGCTGGCCCCCCACATACTTCCGGGCACCCCTTGTGAGCCCCTCCTTTCCCTTTCCCCAGTCTATTACCTGGTCCTTGACTTTGTTTTTCCCCATGTGACGATAAAAACTTTTGGGTCAGATTGGGGTTTTATGCTAGTCGTTCTCAATTTTTGCTGGGCCCCTGCCTTTTCCATGCATCTCTGTTTTTGGCTCTTCAGCCTCCTATTTCCTGGGTTCTTTGTCTTTTATGCTTTTTCCAGTCAGTTTAAATTAGCTTTGGCCTTTCTAAAATCTTAGGTGAACCAAGGGCTTTTTTTGGACTTTCCCCTTGTTTCTGTTTTCCCTGGTACGACCTTCTTCTCTCCTCCCTCACTTTTGGTCACTGTTTCATCTTCCCTTACTGTCCCCGTCCCCCCATTTCTCTTCCCCCCCTGCACCTCATGCCTGTGTAGGTTCCCTGTTTGAAGTTTTCTTTTCCATCCTTCTGCCTGCTTTACTTTTCCCCGTTTAAATCAACTGTATTTAGTGTTCAGGACCACGTGATCACTACATCAAGGAGCCTTTCATATGTATTTCCCATGTCCAGTACTCAAGTTGAATAGGGTTCACCTTGCTGGTTCACCCTTTTCCTCTGGTAAAGCCCCCAACATTTGGGGATGAGTTTTTTAGTACCCCTCCATCATCTTTCCCTTCACTTTCTGGCCCCCTGTTGGGTTTCCCTGTTTCCTAAATCAATCTCCTTGGGTTGAAACCCCCATGAGATTAACTTGCCCGCCCATGTGGGCCCTTCTGGGGACCTCAGCTATTGGGCCGCCAATGCTCTATTTTCCTCATCATACTCTTGTCTTTTGGGCCCCCTGGTTAGCCCATTTTTGGTGTGGTGGCGTGGTGTGTGTGTGTGTGGTGTGTGTTATTCACCTAATTCACTCACCAATTGTGGTTGCAGGGTCGGACCCAAACTCCCGGCCCCGCCTCTTTTACGATCGCACTAATCTTCCTCTGCTTCCTGAGCTGTACATACCTCTTCTTAAAACTAGTAGGTTCCCGCCTCCACTACTTCACTTACTAGGCTATTCCACTTCCTGACAACTCTATGACTGAAGAAATACTTCCTAACGTCCCTGTGACTCGTCTGAGTCTTCAGCTTCCAGTTGTGACCCCTTGTCCCTGTGTCCCCTCTCTGGAACATCCTATCTCTGTCCACCTTGTCTATTCCCTGCAGTATCTTATATGTCGTTATCATGTCTCCCCTGACCCTTCTGTCCTCCAGTGTCGTCAGTCCGATTTCCCTCAACCTTTCCTCGTACGACATTCCCCTCAACCTTTCCTCGTACGACATTCCCCTGAGCTCTGGGACTAGCCTTGTTGCAAACCTTTGTACTTTCTCTAACTTCTTGACGTGCTTGACCAGGTGTGGGTTCCAGACTGGTGCTGCATACTCCAGTATGGGCCTAACATACACAGTGTACAGTGTCTTCAACGATTCCTTATTAAGGTATCGGAACGCTATTCTCAGGTTTGCCAGGCGCCCGTATGCTGCAGCAGTTATTTGGTTGATGTGTGCCTCCGGTGATGTGCTCGGTCACCCCAAGGTCTTTCTCCCTGAGTGAGGTCTGTAGTCTTTGTCCACCTAGCCTATACTCTGTCTGCGGTCTTCTTTGCCCCTCCCCAATCTTCATGACTTTGCATTTGGCTGGATTGAATTCGAGAAGCCAGTTACTGGACCACGTGTCCAGCCTGTCCAGGTCTCTTTGCAGTCCTGCCTCATCCTCATCCGATTTAATTCTTCTCATCAACTTCACATCATCTGCGAACAGGGACACTTCAGAGTCTATTCCTTCCATCATGTCGTTCACATATGTCAAAAATAGCACTGGTCCTAGAACTGACCCCTGTGGGACCCCGCTCGTCACAGGCGCCCACTGTGATACCTCTTCACGTACCATGACTCGTTGCTGCCTCCCTGTCAGGTATTCCCTTATCCATTGCAGTGCCCTCCCTGTTATATGCGCCTGATCCTCCAACTTCTGCACTAATCTCTTGTGGGGAACTGTGTCAAAGGCCTTCCTGCAGTCTAGGAAAACGCAATCTACCCACCCCTCTCTCTCGTGTCTTACTTCTGTTACCTTGTCATAAAACTCCAGGTTTGTGATACAAGATTTGCCTTCCATGAACCCATGCTGGTTTTCATTTATAATCTTGTTCCTTTCCAGGTGTTCGACCACTCTCCTCCTGATAATCTTCTCCATGACTTTGCACACAATACATGTCAGAGACACAGGTCTGTAGTTTAGTGCCTCGTTTCTGTTTCCTTTCTTAAATATGGGGACTACATTAGCTGTCTTCCATTTCTCAGGTAGTTGCCCAGTTTCAAAGGATGTGTTGAAGATTGTGGTTAGAGGCACGCACAGCATCTCTGCTCCTTCTCTAAGGACCCATGGGGAGATGTCCGGTCCCATCGTCTTTGAGGTGTCAAGTCACCTCCTCGGTTGTTCGTATGTCATCCAACACTTGTTGGTATATTCCCTCTTGATGTTCCCTTCTGTGCTGTCTTCCCACAGCCCTTCCTGTCTCTACTGTAAAAACTTCCTTAAATCTCCTGTTCAGCTCCTCACAAAACCTCCTAATCATTTTTTTGGGAGTTCTCCACCTTCTGTCCTTAATCTGATCACCTGGTCTTTGACTG